TATTTGTATGGTTAAGTTTATTTGTACAAATGTTTTATTAGACTTATGTGTGTTGCACAAGCTCATTGCATCTGGCATGGGTTCTCTGGGCACGGGTGACTCACCAGTCAATAGAATTCTTTTCACTTTTCATTTTCAACGGCTAAAAAAGTTTTTCATCGATTCCATTCACATTGAAACAAAAACTATATATGCTTGTTGTTGTTTTTCTTCACAATTCACACTAAATTTGAATACTAGTTCAGGGGAAAGTTATAGTAAAAAAAAAAAGTAAAATTAATGTGTACACCTTATAGAAGTCTTGAACCAGTCAGAATAGATACAACTGTATGACACCATGTACCTATAAGAGGCAAGTGCATGTATAGTAGCCGTTTATATCTAGTGTTGGCCAACTGTAGATCACTATAGATATTTCAGATTTCCATGGTATTTGGCAATAATAACAGTTGATCAGATTCAAAGTCAGTTTTCGATTTATAAGCACACTAGTTCTCTAATTTGTTTAGAGATTGATAAACTTGATATATCATTTAGTGTGAGTAAATATAAATAAATCAAACCATACCAACCAATGACTTTAGTAGTTTATGCTTGTTGGCTATCAATTTCAATGTGAATAGGATCCATGAAATGCTTCTTGAGATATTGAAATGAAAAAAATGCAAAGAGATCTATTTAACTCCTGGTACATGCTGTATGCAATGAACTTAGATGCTTTCCCTATGTTAACCCTATGTTAACCCTAGTCCCTACCATATTGTTAGGTCCTGTCCTAGTGCCGTTCTGTAGGGAGCATTGGCGACTTACTTGTGTTGAGCCTATGCTCGGTCGCACCACCATACTCCTATACTAGGCACCGTGTCTTTTATTTCAATTGTGTATGACCGGAATTCTGTATTCGTACGCCCTATTAGGACTGTTGGACTTCAGCCACTTGCTTCGGCACGTACTAGCCCAGAATTCTTCGTACAGGTCATATTCACAGGACTATACTAACCAAGTGTGTTGGCTTCTCAGATGCTCGGATGCTAGGATGTTCTGTTGGCTTCTCAGATGCTCGGATGTTAGAATGTTTTGTTGGATTCTCAGATGCTTGGATGCTAGGATGTTCTGTTAGATTCTCTGATGCTAGGATGTTCTGATGTTGATCTCTCAAAAATTGATAACTGACTGTAAAATTAGCCTCTATATATACTAATTGGAAGGATCCTGGGCACTAAATATACTAATTAGAAGTTCGTCCATAACCAATCAAATTTCCAAGTGCCATAACGGACCAATAAACTTACACATGCAAATAAGGAACTTATCAGACATTTTATGTCTAACTTTGTTTGTGGATCCTAAGACAATAATGTATGGCCAATAAAATCTTAGATGCAAATGGGTGGCTCCAAAAGCAAAAACTCTTAGCCAGTTAAATCATTTGTTTTTCCCTCCTCATATGCAAAGCATATGCAAAACATAAACTTATCAAAGAAGCTGAGGCTATTGGTTCTTTGTGGATCTTAAATAGCAAATCAGATCTATCATGCAAATAAAAGATCCCTCATATTTCCCTCCTAATATGCAAATCACCCTCCTAATATGCAAATCACAAGCCTATCAGACATGCGCAGATTTGGTTAACTTCTTCCTTGTCTGTGGATCCTGCAGCAAATCTGAAAGCCAATCAAACATCATATTCAAATAGATAGATCCTGGGACAAAACTCTTAGCCAATGAAATTTCTTTATTTTTCCCTCCTATATGCAAAGTATATGTATATTAGACAGGCACAGGTGCTTCTTTGTCTGCACAAGATTCTGGTGCAAAGCTTTAGCCAATCAAAACTACAGCTCATACATCCCCTAGACATGTGCCCTGGGCATGTACTATGTGTTAAAGGGATAGTTGGGTTTGGTATAGAGAGTACAGTTTTGGTCAAACTGAATTTTAGTAACCAAAACCTGCACCATTAAAAACTAATAGTTAATAACTGCACCATGCTCGACTGGTATACAAAAAATTACAAAGGACTTAGTAATAAGCCTGTTAACAATTAAAAAGAGCAGTTAAACCACATGGGAGAGTTCTCTAAAAAGTCATTGGTTTCATCCAATTTTGATAATACAATTGAGCATGTTATGTTTTGTTAAAATAATGATTAAATAGAGAGATCATCAGCAACTGCTTAAAAGCATCGGCTAGTTAAGAATTATTTAATATTTTCGAGGCCCCACAAATATAAAAAATGGTTATATTTATGGATATTTCAGCCGTCTCTGAACTGATTTTGACCAAACAAAAATGATTTTGTCATTTAAATTGTATGCTCTTTCAAATTTGACACTCAGTTTTTCATTTTCTCCACAAAAAAACAATTGTGTAGCGCCCTCTATACCAAAACTCAATTATCCCTTTAACATGTATGTTAAGACTGCATGCTTTTCTGTTTCTCACCTTTGCCCTTTTTTCTTTCATCTTTCTATTTAGTTATCTATATTAGGATTGCAATAAAAAGTATTATTTCAGTTTTAAAATCATTTTGATTCACATATAATTCTAAACCTTTTATTAAACAATGTGAGTGTATTAGCAAAATTCACAATGTGGACATGGCAACATGATGTTAACCTTCAATATACAGGATGGCCCAGAAAAATACAACAGAGCTACCAGGTGTCACGCATTAGGCGTGACATCACGCATTTGGAGGGTCTGGAAATGCTCTCACGCACGGCGCGCGCTAGATTTAGAAAAAAGGCTATACCTTATACGTGTGTTATACCCTCGCACGCGCGCTCGTGCGCAGAAAAAATTAAAATGTCACGCATTGCCGATCTTTAAACTTGGCGTCTCTGAATACAATGGTAAACTCCCATAACATAGTGACAAAACAACTAGTTTTAATGGGTGGGAAATCTTTTACGGAGAAAAATGCTACAAGGATCAGCCATTTGGGTTTCTTCCATGATTAAATTTACGTTACTTAAATGCACCACTTTGTATGATCCCTCAAAATTGAGTTGATTTCTTAATCTTCATAGCCTTCAGGGGTGACATTCTGTAAGGAAAAATTTCAATTAAAGAGCAAGTCTTAAACTTGATCTTAATATCTACAACTTTTCAAGATAAGATCAACTCCAAAAAGTTGATCTTTAGTGTATGCACATTTATGTAAATTACCTGTCCTAAGATAAGTCGTATTCTATAACCACATTTAGGATCAACATGCTCCTAAACTTAAAGCCACACTGTACTACTTGTAGCTACTTGCTCCCTCTATATAAAAAAACTGCCCCAATCGGTGCTTGTTGGTCCCCCATGATAAGATAACGCACACTTTAATAGTGAACAATCAAACTCGAGTAGCCAAAGCCATGCCCTAAGTTCGTTAGATTACATCTTCATGGCACAGATTAATTACCGGTATTTATTATTCATGCTAAGATCGTCCTAAGGCCATTTTTAAAAAAAATGTTTAGCGTCCTGCCTTTTTCAAAAATAGGAAGGAGGTGCAAATATTGCGAATATACTACCTGACATTCGGGCTATTTTCCAAGATGGCTGCCAGAATTTTTGTTTTCTTTATTTCTAATCAAAAGTTGATCATTTTAACAGTATGATTTTCATGTTTTTATTCATTGAAGAAGAAAAAAATTATTTAAACAAAATATTCAAAATAACATGCGGCCCTAAAAAACTGGCCTAAGATCAACATAGAAAATACCAATTTTGTCAATCTTACTTCTTAGAGAGGTCTATAAAGTTGGTCTTGAGATCAACAAGTAAGATCAACTTTAGGATACCACCCCAGGACTTTGTCAGGTTTATTTACAATATGAACACAGGTTTGACAAATCTCAACAGATAAATGACTTTTTTTCATAGTACTTCAGACTGTACATTAAAACTCTCTATTTAAATACAGAATGTAAAGATTTTTAAATTACTATTTTTAGTATAGTATTTAACGTATGTATTTATAAGTCATATCTCATGTAATAATGTGTTGGTATCTGCAACCAGTGTCATTGATCCAGTGAGTCAGAATATGATATGGGAGCTGAGAAGGGAAGGGTTAGGCACTTACCCTCTGAAATGTAAAATAAATGGGGAATACAATTACTTCACTTGATCTTTCCATGCAGTCTTTTTTTAACACCACCAATATTATTTGAAAATGTATCAATTTATTAGCCTACCCAACTTCCAAATACCTTTCTTTCATAAGAGCTATTTTTAATTGAGAGAACAAATATCCACAGGGGCTATTTTAGGGCTGACAGGGGCTTTTTTGTCTTGTATTTATTTGTTCTCATTTTAGTTTTATATTTATATTTCTCAAACATATTGTAAGACATGATTAAAAACATCCTGTCCTATACTGAAGACAAACATCCGTCAAATTAAAAGAGCATTATGTATGCATTGGTCTAACTAATAAATGTGATAAACACAGCAAAGGCAATTTTATAACAATTTTATTTTTTGTTCACCCCTGTGTATTTTTTTCCTTAAGCCTTACACATCTCAAAAACCCATTGACAGATTGCCATCAAACTTTGTACACATACATGTATGTATCTTGATGAGCCAATGAACTGGTTGGATTTTTGGGCCATGAGGTCAAAGATCAAAGGGTCATTCATACATGTATATGAAAAATAGCTTGTAATCACGATATTCTGAGAACCTGTTAATGGATTACAATCAAACTTAAATTTTAAAAATTGTATCTGTTTTGGTTTGTAAAATCACCCTATGGCGGAGGCATCATTTCCGACTGCGTGCAGTTGAAGTTCCATCTAGTTTAATAATGATAGAAATAATAACAATGAAAATGATAATAACAAAATAAAATGTATTAATAATTGAATTAATAATAATGATGTTAATATAGTAATAACAGTAATGAGAATGATAATAATAATAATAGGAATGAAATTAGCCCTGAATCATATTTTCTAGAATGTATCTGTGGATATTAAACCTTACCATGCCTACTTTTGTCTGTCTTTCTTCCACCCCTCCAGGTTAAAACAGTAATATTCACTGAATCATCTGTTCAGAATCAACCGGTGCCAAAGTGGGTTGTAGCTGTAAGCATAGCAGCTGGAATCGTGTGTCTCATAGTTGTTATTCTCGTCATGTGGAAGGTAGGTTTTTCAGACATTGTTTGTCATTTAATCCTTAAAGAGAAAATGGAGTTCTGGTAAAGGAGAAAATTGACTATGAATTTTCTCATTCTTTTTATGTCAGATTTGAATTCCTCTGAAAATTAAGGAAAGCTTTCATGAATGTCCTCATATTTGAACATGACAGCAAATAGCTAAAAGGATAGGAGCAAACTTTTATGCCATATGTGTGTGTGTATATTTCTATGTGAATTCAGCAAGAATGAGTTTTAAATCTTATCATTTTCATGATTCCAAAACCTCACAGTGTACACCAGTTCTTGTGTGATACATAATAACCTTATCCAAATCGCATTGTTATCACATGACTATGCAGATCGAACTCAATGTTGTTTTTTTATATTTAACCAATCCTGTTCATGGTCATGTTTCTTATTGCCACTAATTTGTCAACATTCCGGGCTTAAAATTTTAAAATTTACCTCTATTTCTCTGTAAGCATGGTTTTAAATAATGCCTGCTTAACAGTTCTGTTTGCACATACAGTCAAACCTGTCTATAACGACCACCCAAGGGAAACACAAAAAAGTGGTCTTTATAGACAGGTGGTCTTTGTAGACAGGTTCCTTTATTACATGTTTCAATGAAAAAACATTTTCAAGGGAAACAAGAAATGTGGTCTTTGTAGACAGGTGGTCTTTATAGACAGGTGGTCACTAAAGCAGGTTTGACTGTACCATGAATGCATGTACATGTAGGATACGTAGAAAGGCATGTAGAGGTGTCGTGGTCGAGTGGATATGTCAACGAACTGTGGATCACAAGGTCCGCGGTTCTAGTCCCGCCGCGGCACTAATGTCCTTTGGCAAGACACTAATCTACATTTGCCACACTCGACCCAGGTGCGGTAAATGGGTACCTGGTAGGATTATATATTCCTTGAAATTCACTGTGCGCTAATAACGGCTGCCGGAGCTAAAAACTTGGGTAATAATTTCCAAAGCTTTTTGGAAGCGCATAGGGACATTATATAATGTGATATGTGCTATTATAAATACAAGAATTGAATAGTGTTATTATAATTATGCATATAAAAATTGTTCTTTTTGTTTTTTCAGTGCGGTTTCTTCCGCAGGCGGATGAAGGAGGAGATGGAGAGATTGATCCAAGAGAAAGAAGAGCAGGAATCTCTCAACCCTGATGGTCTTCTTAACGAAGCAGACTACGAGGATGATAACTTTAGATCATACTAGTTTATTTATAAATCATGACTTTAAGATCACTATGAAAGACTTTTATGTGAGTTGCAGGGCCCTCAAGGTGAAAATTGTTGATACTGACAAGGCTACTCTAAGTAAACAAGACATACTACTATTTTTTAAATTTTATTGTTATTGTTTTCTTTTTACCATTATTACTTTTATTTGTATTATTATTATTATTATTATTATTATTATTATAATTATTATTAGTGCCTCTGTGATGATTGCATCTCAGTCAATATCTTACACAAGTCAGATTCCTAAATTTAAGCTTAGACCCATCTGTCTTGTACCTACATGTAACCCTGGACCCTACACTTAACCTAAAATGATGATGAAATACTTGATAAGAAGTCTTGTTGCTCTTACGATTCCTATTTTGACATATTGACAAATAAAATAGACTTCTGTGTTTTTAAATATTGCTTTTTATTTATATGGATGGAAAATGATAGTAGGAACCCAATATGCGTTTCATTACTGGTAATAACAAGATATTGTATTGCCCATGTATTTACCATCATACTCAGCGACTATGCTTGGCTAACAATTTTTACATTTTTAGCCCTGGGTAGTGTACCGGTAGTATTTTGATATGTTGCTCAAAACAGTGGCAAGAATAAGTGAAGATATTTCAAGCTCATTCTAAGTCAATGGACCATATTACTTAGATTGATTTGGAATTAATTAAAAAAAATTCTCTGCAGTTTCTTTTCTGGAACAGCCGCAGCTTGTTAGGATTATGCCATACAAAGCAGTTTGGGGGAAGAGGATTAGTTGATTCAAAATATCAAGTATTGATTTTATAACTTCATAAGTTGGTTTTGACTTCAAGTTGGCTTATGTCAAATTTGTTACTGATTATCATGAGAACTCTCATTGGTTTATAAATATATTTGATATCGTCTTTTTGAAGCCACTATGGCGTGAACTCATTTTACACAGCATTAGCGTCCTCCTGGCTCCAAACAGACAATTTTGTATGTCATTCCAGTAGAAATAGCATAGCAGTAGTAGAAACCTATGCAATTGCTACCTTCCTCTCCCAAACACTGGACATATGCATGTATTTGTTCGATTTTTTCATTATGAATTTTTAAGAAGATTGTTTCATTTTTGTTATATTTAAGAGGGCCATCAACGCTTGATGAGTAAGGTGTACCATATTATGAACTTGCCAGTTACACAGTAATACATGTACATGCTAAGAAGTAATTTTTTTATGAAATATTAGTTTCCAAGAGAGTGAATCAGTCGTTCTACCGAATGCTACAGATAAAATAAAGATAAAGATAAAGATATTGTATATTTAAAAGACCACATGTCAGTTAAGTCGCTGTGTAGGAAAAGGAGATGATGCTACAGTGGAAACTCATTACAACGAGGACACAGGACCAGAAAAATGTCCTTGTTATATCAGGTATCATGTTATATAAGATTTTTTTGAAAATTAAAAAAAAAAACATGAAAGAAAATAAAGAGCTGGACCTGAAAATTGTCCTTGTTATGTCAGGTCTTTTGTTAGATTTTTTTTAAAGCAAAAGAATATGAAAAGATGAGATAGGCAAGCAAAATTACCTTATGTTTGGTATCTTGTTTTATAATAGCTAATTATAAAGAGTTTCCACTGTATCACCAAATGTAGTTCCTTGTATAATAAAAGAAATGCTCTTTATTTTTGTACCTTTGATAACATTTTCTAATATTGTGGAAAATTACACTGAATTGCAAGTTTGATTTTGTTTAATGATAGACATTATTTCTTGTACTGTAAATCTTAGTAACTTATTTGTGTATGAACTTTATAGTAAATATACGTATCAAGTTTTTATATTCGACTCTGACACTTGTTTGAAACTGTACGTATCAAAACTCTTTATCACGAACTTAGGTTGTTGAAACAATCTTATGAGGCAACTAAGTTATGTTTTTGTAAAGTTTAGAGGATTATTTTGGTATCCATAATTCCTTGCAACCAAAAATGTGTAAATGTATTGCTACTCATAGTATATGTAATGAAATACATGTAGGTATTTCATCTGGCGTAGAATCTTCAAATGGCAGCTATGTACATGTAATGATGTTATATTTATGGTGCTATCTTAAGAATATGGGTATGTTCAAACTATTTGTTTAAGGTTTTTACTGTAATATACATGTACATGAAGTAGCAAACATTTGTCAGGTAATATATTTCATAATAATATGCTGATCAGAAGTCGTAGCTGATTGTTGAAATGATAAGGTTAAAGTTTGAAATTTTATATCATTCAAATAAAATTGCAGAATATATTTCTTGGACTATTCCCAAAATATAAGCAGATGACAGTATCCAGTTGGCAGTATCCAGGCAGTTAAACTGTGACATTTTACAGCTTTTAAGTGGAATAGCAGAGTATATTTCTTGGACTATTCCCAAAATAAAAGCAGGATGGCAGCTTGTGGTTTATCATGTATTTTTTTTATACTGTCCTTGTAGAAACATTTGTAGCATACCAGTAATTTTTATGGATACTGCAGTTTAAAAGTGTAAGATATAAGAAAAATCTGGCGAGGGTACATATATAAATTTCCCATAGAAATAGTTTATGTCTAGTTTAACTAGAAAGAGAGATAACTAGTAATAAGTTGTTTACTGAATTTTAGTAGAGCAGATACTGGAAACATTCATAAAAATGGAAATGTGTATATTCAGTTGTATCCATTTTGTGAATGTGTACTTGATAAACAAACAAAATGCAAATATCTAAAGCCTATTTTGTACCTGGTTTTAAGCAAAAAGGGGTCATATTTGGGGGACAGTATGCAAGATAAGTGGTCATTTTTTACTCTACTAACGATCATGCTTTACACTTTTGAATCTGGTGGAAAACCCCACTGTGTGCTCCATCCATTGTGTAGACCCCCCCCCCCCCCCATGATGATTTGATGTGCAATTGTACAGGCTTTGAAATGTGAATTTCAGTAGGCAACTATCCTAAAACCATTTGTTTATACATGTAAGAATATTAATCCCAAATAAACTCTTCTGACTTCATCATATTTCCACATGAAATTTCTAACCTGAATAAAATCCTAGGCATTGTTTCACGAAGCCATTATAAGCACGAGTTCACAGACATTCCATTGAATCATGTGTTAAAATCAATGGGTCGATGGCGAATTCGTTCTTTTGACGGTTTTTAGAAATGCTGCAAGATCTTGATCTCGAAGGAAATATCTGTGTTCATTCATGAATAGTTATAGAGGTACTTATCCTGATGATTTGGACGGGCATCATGGAAGATCCAAGATTCCAAGGTCTTTTTGTCAAAATGGTATGGGGCTTGGTTTTTTTAATTCTTTTAATCAATAACTCTGTTTTTTAAAAGAAGACTTTTGGTACAAGACGACCCCTGCCATAGTATATATAACTCTGAAAGACATGCATTATTATCAGTTGGATGCATATCTTTTTTACCAAATATATGCCAGACATTGATAGCATAACTTTTTTATCTACTTTTTTAGTGATATATTATATGATACCCTTGGCATATGTAACAAGTAAATCAAGTGGCACTTTTAGGTCTTGTGTTCCTGTGTATTGTAACGCTACTTTTTATGTCAATGTTATAGTTAAGCGTATATATATATGTTGATGATGTTGCACAGTTTTTGATGAGTTAAGGCAATGTGTATAGGAAGAGAAAGAAAACAAATGTCATATTTGTTATCGTTATTGTATAATATGTACATACTTTAGCGATTGTATAACGACCAAATAAATATGTTCTTCTCGTAAAGCTGGCTTTTGCATACAATTTCCATTTGTTTTTCTCATTAAGGTACTACCAATCATAAGGAAATTGTTGAGTCCTGTGATGGATTTTTTTTTTCAAAGACAAAAGATTTAAGGCCGGCATACCAAATTTTTAAATGGGCTGAAGAGTTTCATTGCTGCACACTGAGGATAAAAAATAGAACATGAAACAAATAAAAGTGAAATACATTTGCATGGTTACTTTATTAAAAAATCAGGTACAAAAATAATCATATTGATGAATTTGACAATGTACAACTCACTGTATTACAACTACTTTTTCATCTTCATCGTTGTTAATTGTGCGTTTTTATTATTATTAGATTTTTAAGACACATTTCAATCTACTTCACATATCACTAATTTATATTCATGATGGTTATATATACATACAAAACAGACCTCTGTTATCTTTTGTCTTCATTTTGACAACACATCTTGCAGCAAACTTTCTTAATATTCACTATTGCTATTCAGAAAGAAATCATTATAATCCACTGTTCTCTCTTTTCTTTCCCGAGAAATTTTGGTGTACCTTGTAGCCAATGTTCTTAATAGTACTGTATTTCACAAAGCTACCGTACTCAGAAATGAATGATAGCAGTCCTCTTTTATCTCTTCATTTATCTACGAAATATTCATGACATACCCTGTAGCTAACTGTCTTGATATTTCACTATGGCTATTCAGCAATATATGATAGTATAGTAAGTTATCTTTTTACTTTTTCTGGGAATTGTTATTGACACACCTTGTAGCCAATCAGCTATTCAGAATGATATTATAGTAGTCCTCTGTTATCTCTTTTCTTTCTCCAAGAAATATTGATGGCACACCCTGTAGGCAATGTTCTCTTTAGACCATTCAAAGATATTTTACTAAACTACTCAGAATGACAGCAGTACTCTAGTCCTCTGTTATCTCTTTTCTTTCTACAAGAAATATTGATGACACGCCCTGTAGGCAATGTTCTCTTTAGACCATTCAAAGATATTTTACTAAACTACTCAGAATGACAGCAGTACTCTAGTCCTCTGTTATCTCTTTTCTTTCTCCAAGAAATATTGATGACACGCCCTGTAGGCAATGTTCTCTTTAGACCATTCAAAGATATTTTACTAAACTACTCAGAATGACAGCAGTACTCTAGTCCTCTGTTATCTCTTTTCTTTCTCCAAGAAATATTGATGACACGCCCTGTAGGCAATGTTCTCTTTAGACCATTCAAAGATATTTTACTAAACTACTCAGAATGACAGCAGTACTCTAGTCCTCTGTTATCTCTTTTCTTTCTCCAATAAATATTGATGAGAGACCCTGTAGGCAATATCTTCTTAAGAACATATTTAAAATATTTCACTAGGCTATTCAGATCTATAATAAACTAATGACAGTACTCCTCTGTTATCTCTTTCCTTTCTCACACATTGTAGCCAATATATATGATTCAGAATGATATGATGGTAGTCCTCTGTTATCTCTTTTCTTTCTCCAAGATATATTGATGACACACCCTGTAGGCAATGTTCTCTTTAGACCATTCAAAGATATTTCACTAAATTACTCAGAATGATACTAAACTAATGACAATAGTCCCATTGTCCTCTGTTATCTCTTTTCTTTCTTGAAGAAATGTTGATTACACACCCTGTAGGCAATGTTCTCCTAAGAACATATTTAAAATAGTGCACTATTCTACTCAGAATGATAATGAACCAATGACAGTAGTCCTCTAGTCCTCTGTTATCTCTTTTCTTTCTCCAAGAAATATTGATGACACACCCTGTAGGCAATGTTCTCTTTAGAATATATGTAAAATATTTCAGTAGGCTATTCAGAATGATAATGAACTAATGATAGTAGTCCTCTGTTAACTCTTTCCTTTATCCAAGAAATGTTGATGACACACTTTGTAGTCTTCTAAGGAACCAACATCAAAGCGTCCAGAGATGTCATAGACATAGACTGGCATTCTAGGTAGAAGATCAAATGAAGAAGAAGAAAAAAACACATCTCACTATAGGTAATTTTTTTAATTCTTCAAAGACTGTTCCATCACTGCTCAATAATCATAATCATACTAATACTAATGATAATAATAATAATATTAACAACAATAATAATGGTAAATAAAACTACAATAATAACAATAATGGTAATAATCAATTATTAATAACTACAATAATAATAATAACAATAATGATTAAAAAAAAGTAACAATATATTTTTAAATATTAGTAATAACACTTTAATACAGTCATAATAAATTAATGATATCAATAATAACAAAAACAGCTACAACTTCTACTACGACAATAATAATAATACTACTATTAATAATACCTGGAGTAGAGGTATTTCACAAAGTTTCCTGTAGCATCTCTTTCTTTCATTGGCCTATCCTGTTAACAATAAAGAAGAGTAGGTAGTGGTCATTGTGATTACATTTTGAAAGGATCTGTCTTCTAACAATTAGGAAAGGTTCATCATGTACAGTGTAGCACATAACAATGGGCCATTGTTGTAATGTAACCAAATTTAATGCATAAATCTTTTTAAGTGCCATTTTACAAACTATCAAATCCACCTGTTATGAATAAATGTATTTCAATAGTCAGAATGCAAATTGCAAACATTAATTGTTTGTCCATAATGTCAAAGTAATCAAGTTCTTCTTGGAAAAAAGTGATCGCAATTTAATGATTGTTGCACTAAAACATGAATATATTAATTATTTTTTTAATATCATTCCAATCATCATCATCTTAGTCATCACTACTTTTAATATACCGCAAACAAAAGGAAACATGACAATTAATCTAATACTCTACCCTTAAAAATGACTGTTAAGATAATTAGGAGGAACTTTGTCTCCTTAAACACTAACCTCTGACAGAAAACTATCCAGATGTGGTAAACTTTGCTGTGAGAACAGGTAGAAGCATGGACACTGAGGGGGAAAGACAAGACAAACTCATTACATATTTTACTTTACTTTACTTTACATATAATTACAGCCAGTAAACAAATAGGTGATAGAGCTTTCTCAGTTACTGCCCCAAAAGCTGGAACTCCTTACCACCTGTTTTAAAGAAATGCCAGACTCTTGCAGCTTTCAAGATGTGACTGAAAACACATCTTTTCTATAATTCCTCTTTGTTTGTAATCAATGTCAGCTTTTTTATGATAATGTTCCCTTTCTGTGTTTGTTTGTAAGTATTTCTTGTTTCTTGGGCATGAGACTTGGCAATTCAAGAAGTCAACATCATGTTTCTCTAGGAGGCCCAGAAAATAATGAAAAGTAAATGTAAACACTGACAGAATTCAACCAGTCTGTTTTTACAGAAGCACAGTAAACAAACTTTTCCTTTGCATAGTTAAAGGGAGTGTAGCCTGACAAGACTATGTGTCTTTCCTGTGGCCTGACTCTGGACCAATCATGTATAATACGACTACGGACGACGCAGCGACTGCAGCAATCCCGTGCGTGCAACATACACAAAACCGAATTGTGAAGAGAATTTTGGTCCATTAATCAAGTCCATTCGTTTACGTGCAGTTGTCCAAAAGAAGATGGCATTAACCAGTATTTGCCAAGCTACACTCCCTTTAACAGACTTCACTTTGAGATGCTGTACAAACATTTACAAGGGGATTGTTGATACTTACGGCTCTCCTGGAGTCTGTGTCTTCTGGGTTAGGTTTCTCCAGGAATGCCGTGACCTTTAGCTCATCATTGACCTCTAGGATACCTCGTTTCACGACCTCTGAAATGTGACAAGAAAAGTCACTTGTAATACAATGAACCAAAAACTGTTTGGTGCATGAAATGTATAAAATTAAGCATGGACAAGATATCTATGGTGCAGGAATATGTTTTCTTTGGGGAAATACAGTTTTTTTTTTTAATGGAAAAACGCCAAGGCATCGACCACTGGACTGGGATTGTGTCCAGTGACTCGAGAAGAAGAATTCCATGAAAACAGTAAGTGTGGTGCACAAAGAAATCACATAGGAAAATCAATAAGGTGTACTCACTTTTGCAAGATACTCTATGTAGGTGCAGAGTGGAAGTTGGAAATTATAATGAGGATATTGATCACAAAGAAATTGTCCCCGGAAGAAAGCATGTGTTGTACAGTGTAGACACGATGGCTAAGTGGTAGAACAGTGGTCTCCAAACCAAGTTAATGCACAAGTGTCCTTTGGTAAGGCATTAATAATCATTAATAAGTCCCTCAGAGAGGATTACAGCCGTTGGTCTCCTGGTAGCTTACTAACAAGCATACACATGCTTTTTAGCAGTCATCAAACAAACAAACATGATAATCACACTCACCTTCAGAAGAAACATGGTTGGAGACGACCATGCTGGCTACAGGGGAGCTCTCTTTTCTCTTCTGAAAGGCCGCTAGAAAATCAGACAGGGAGAAGTCATCATAAAAGAGGGTATCCCTAAAGAGACAAAACACCAAGAGAAATCATTTATTCTTCATAATCGTCAATAATTTTGAAATACGTCCAATAATTATGGTGGCAATGATTACAATGGTGATTATAATTATAATTATGATGATAATAATGATGATGATGATGTCACTACCCAACCACTGTCCACCCGTCTGCCTCGTCTGTAGTTCTATTGGTTTATTGTTGTTTGAACTACAACCGGTTCGTCTACTACCCAATTGATGATTATCATTATCATTTATGATTATTAGACCATATGGATAGTAGACAAAAGGGGCATTAGACACACTAGGAATTAGATTGACTGGAAATTAGACTAAATGAGCTATAGACCAAATAGTCAGTAGACTATTTGGAGATGAGACCCAATGAGAACAAGACCAAGTAGCTATTGGCCTAAAATGAATGATCATTAGAACAAAATAGATAAGTAGCCAAAAAGATTATTAGACCATGTGAATAGGTAGACCATGTATTTATATAGTTTTGAGTTTGAGTTTATTGATTTCACATTTCACATGCAGAAATAATACAGATAACAAAATATACATAAAAGACATATTGTTTCATAATTAAAAAAAAAGAAAATGATTAAATTAATTGACAAGGTAATCATCACATTTGTTTGACAACTAATATCATTTAAAGGAAACCCAGACAAAAGTACAAACTGTGAAATGTGCAGGAACCTATAGAAAAGCAGAGCTTGTAAAGAATAGGTTCCTGGGAGACTTGAAAAATAACAGGGACAGAAAATGTTTACTGTAGAGAGAGTAGAATAATTGAGTAGCTGGTAGACGAACCAGTTGTAAGCAAAATGACAATTCCTCGATCGGCCTTTTACATTTTAGTGTCTCTACCACTCACCCTCCTATGACCAGTACATCATCATCTATCTTTCCTTCTTTCACAGCTAACTGGAGGCAAGCCACAGCTCCAATTCTATCCTGTACAACAAAGGAGGGAAAATGGTTAATGGAATAAAATATTTAATACTTTACATTTCAAGGGGACAATTAGGTCCTCATGATGGTTCTAAATTCATTTAAAATACTTCAAGAAATTCAAACCACAATGCAGATTTTCTAACAACAATTTGGTCTCCATAATGGTACATCATGTGCAGGTACCAGGGTTGAAAGCTACATGGTAGAAAAGTTTTACCATTGCACACTTCTTCATGTTTTAAAGGAGAATGAAATCCAACAAGCACTAGCTGATAACCTTAATCAAAATTGCTGGTCAGTTAAAAAATAATTAAACTACTCTTATTTCATTACAGCATAGGAAGTTAGGAACACAATTTCTCCAAAGTTTGGAGCACCCTTGCTAGTCATTTTCCCATGGGAGCTGTCATTTTGAAAAAATAGTGATGTCACAGTAGTACATATCCATTGACCTGCATAGATTGGATATGGTGTTAAATATTGAGTGGCTATTGCACCACCAGAGGTATTCCACAGCAGCTATCTTGTTACTTTGGCATCTCACTTAGGTTGTTTCTCAGAGCACTTTTATTTACATCTTTTTTGTTGCAATTTTGCAATTCACAAAAATGTACAACCTTCAGCATTACTGGGACCCATATTACCTAAATACAGTTCCATCACTAGAACTACAATGTACTACATATAGGAACTAGTTTTAAAAGATGACTTTAGAACTCACATCATTACAGGTAGTACCATCACTGATGAGTTGGACTCGTTTCCAATCAAGGGCCCAGGTTTCAAACTGCTCCTTGTAGTAATCGTTTGTCTGAAAACATGACAAATCAAACAGCAGGATAAGAATGAAGCAGGCCGGGCACTGTCTTATAAAGAGTGCTTGCAATTGATCCAAATCAACTGCAAGTCCTCCTATCAATCGCAAGTTTGCAGTCTGATGCTATCCTATCTCTTATGTACATAGTTGCTATTGATATCTATCACAATAAGTTGCGATTACTATCAACTCTTTTTAAGACAGGGCCCAGATTTTTTATCATACTACATAATAATGAACAAATAAGGATAACATCAAGATGTGAATGGAATGTCTTTCAACTTTCAAGCAGCCAACTACCGTAGGTCAAAGAAAGCTAGCATTATGGATTACGAGTACCGTATTTGCCGGCGATAAGGCCGCACCGCCGCATAGGCCGCACCCAAACTTTGACATTTCAAAGAGGAAAAAAAAAAAAAAAAAAAAAAAAAAACGGACGAAACAAAATAATCATAATTTTCTCGAAAACACTATTTTATTTTTACAAACTGATACCAAATTCATCAATATTCTTATAATTGACCGGAAGTTTAGCTAAAAAAGTGATCGCAGGCAGGTTTGGTGTCCGACATATCGTCGCTGTTTTCACGAAGTGACGGGTAGTGAAAAAAAATTGCATTCACTTTGCATTACGATTTTCCTCACTACCGTCACTTCGTGAAAACAAGGATGATATATACCCCTACCACAATGTACGGTGTAATGCATGCAAACTGCATGAAATGGAAAATAAAATGGCTACTTCGGATGGATGACGGTGCATGATGCTGGATGTTCGCAGCAGCTCCGTTTACAGTCCCTTCCTTTACCTTTGCAATGCATTGGCACAAACTTAGATCAAGATCTATCGACAAATGTTGTGTTAATTAGGACGTTTATTTTCGTCTTCATGCATGTCAACAATGCGAGATAAAATTGTTGGTATGCAGGTAAGATGTGTGGAAATGTCCTGTACCATAGTGGTATAGTTATTTTACCGTTCGTAGTCCCATATGTGCAAATTCGTGCTGGTTTTGACTTCCGTTTTTATTTTTTATTTTTACTCTTTCGCCGTAAAGGCCCCACCCCGACTTTTTGATATTTTCTCTTCCAAAAATACTGCCGCCTTTAGGCCGGCAAATAGCTCAAGATCCATCACATCGTCACTCAACAGCCCGGCCCCAAATACACGCAATGATTATCATTGACCTCTAGGATGCCTTGTTTCACGACCGGCCCCCCCACTCCGAGAACGGACGGACCCCATGCGTGTTGCCAAAATGTCCTTTTCGTAACAAAAGAAAAAGGTCGACCCGTATTGACTTTATATACACACCGGACGTTTGCTGAAAAGGGGGGGGGGGTGCTGAAAAAGGCTTGTATACAAAAGAAAAAGGTCGAGCTGTATTGACTTTACACACCGCACTTTTGCTGAAAAGGGGGGTCGGTTGGAACACGCATATGCGTACCCTAAATAACACTGAGTGGGGGGGGGGGGGGGGGCCGGGGATGCATGAAACAAAAAATTCTAAACCTACCACTACAAATATGGAATCAGTGATACCATCGCTATCCTCCGTCAAAGTCTGCATCCAGTGCGAGATGAGACTGAGAGGCTTGGGTCCGATGGGAACCAGAGGTTTGGGTAGACCAACGAGATGGGCGTGGTCCCCGGTGGTGTCTCGCCCGATGTCACACTGGAGGCGGGTCCCATACCCAGCAGCTAAAATGACCACCTTCATGATCAGCCACTTTGAGTAAGAGAAACAATGTAATTTGTATACAGTGAAACCTGCATGTAGGTCCATAGACATAGAGTTCGGTGACGATCAATAGCCAGTGAGCCGTATGACGTCACGTGTCACAGGTCAAATGAGACCTATCTCGTACCATGGAGATATAAAAAGAGATATCTCCATGCTAGTACCGTACTAGATTTAGGAAAATCAAAGTTGACGCATTCTCGATCGCCGACAGAGACGACGTGACGCATGCGCAGTGCCTTAATAGTAATACTACTAGTTGGGCCCGCAGAATATCCGCGGGATTCTAGGGGACGCGGCCGGGGTGCGTATTTTTTATTTACACGGCAGCGAGGGGAATTTCTCAATTAATTCCAATGAAACCGCTAAAGACGAGTCTAGACTAGACCGAATCGGAGGGCTTTCATCGAAAGGGTGCGGTGCGGCGACGCGGTGTGGTGTGCTGAGTGCTCAACGCACCCATTCGATAAAAGAGGGGGGGGGGGGCTTTTCTCGAAAGGGTGCGTTGAGAGCGGAGTACCGTTTTAACACACCCTTTCGATGAAAGCGGGGGGGGGGGGGGGGCTTTTCTCGAAAGGGTGCGTTGACTAGTCTTTCGCATCAGTCGTTTAAAATGAGGATCTGGGACAGAATAGTTGCCAATTTAAGTATATCGAAAATGTATTAAATAAAATGGAATGGTCTTGATTACAGAGAGTGGTCTCTTTCGTTATTACTAAGGGGGAGACAGAGAGAAGAAAAAAAGGGAAAGGGAAAGGGAAGATAAAAGGAAAGAAAGAAGAATAAGAAGAAAAGAGGGAAACGGGGGGGGGGGGAGGGGCGAAGGGCTCTTGCCTCGTCCTCATCCCCCCCCCCCCCCCCGCCAAAAAATAAATAAGAGAGAGAGAGAGAGAGAGAGAGAGATTTGAAAGCGAAAGGGAAAGAGAATATAAAAGGAAAGAAAGAAGAGGAAGAAGAATAAGAAGAAAAGAGGGAAACGGGGGTGAAGGGCTCTTGCCTCCACCCCCCCCCCCCGCCAAAAAATAAATAAGAGAGAGAGAGAGAGATTGGAAAGCGAAAGGGAAAGAGAGTAAAGGAAAGAAAGAAGAGGAAAAAGGAAAGAAGAAAAGATGGAAACGGGGGCGATCGAAGGGCTCTTGCCCTCCCCCTCCCCTCCCCCCCCCCCCCCCGCCGCCAAAAATAAATAAGAGAGAGAGAGAGAGAGAGAGAAGGGAGAGGGAAAGAAAATATAAAAGGAAAGAAAGAAGAGGAATAAGAAGGAAAGAGGGAAACGTGGGAAGGGCGAGGGGCTCTTGCCTCCTCCCTCCCCACCCCCTCCCGCCAAAAAAAAAATAAGAGAGAGAGAGAGAGAGAAGGGAGAGGGAAAGAAAATCTAAACGGAAAGAAAGAAGAGGAAAAAGAATAAGAAAAGAGGGAAACGGGGGCGAAGGGCTCTTGCCTCCTCCCTCTCCCCCCCCCCCCCCCCCCCCCGCCAAAAAATAAATAAGAGAGAGCTAGAGAGAGAGAGAGAAGGAAAGGGAAAGAGAAAGCCAGTGTCACAAATAGATATAAAAAATATGCTCATCTGACCGTTATTTATTGCCCAAAACCCCTGAGCTTCCGGGGGCTCCAACCCCTTGACCCCACGCCAATTCGTGACCACTGTGTCACAAATAAGGTATAAAATAATAATAATTTAATGTACAAAACTCCTGAGCTTCTGGGGGCTCCGCCTCCTGGACCCACCAAATTGTGTCCTGCCACTGTCACAAATAAGGTATAAAATTATGCACATCCGACATTAATTTTGATGTTTAATACCCCTGAGCTTCTGAGGGCTCCGCCCTGTGAAAAAAACGTGTAAAAAACACGTTAATTTTACCGTTTTGGGGAGATAGGCCCCCCCCCCCTCCCTGGCGTTCAAGGGGGGGGGGGGTACGATTTTTCAAATTTTCGAGGGCCCCCAAAAAAGATTAGTGCTCTCTAGTAATTTCGCGACTACTCCGGAACCGCGGCAGATATAAAGTTTTTCTTTCATTACTTTTTTCTTTCGAGTCTTACGCATCTTTTGAAACATTTTTTTGTTGAAAATTGGACGTATAGTTGCGGAGTCACGTGACCTTTTGTTTTTGCATGTCAGCCCTAAAATCGCTCATTTTTGTGATTTATGTACCAAACATATGGAAATACCATTTATTCTTTAAAAAAAAGAGAAAACATTGGTTATTTGGTCTTGTTTTCAAGTTAATGTGTTTGTTTTTGGGTCAAAATAGTTGAATTGTGGTTAGAAATGAAATAAAACAACAAAAACAATATAATACATAAATACAAATTATCAAAACAAGAGATAACATAGGAATAAACTGGCTCTTCCAACTTTGTTGTCGTATTATTATTCTAACGAATATATGTAGTGAAAAAAAAACGCTTGGATATGAATTATATATGATTTATGGGTAAAAATGTGAATTCTCTGACCTTGTTTGCATAAATTACCATAAATATGCAAATGAGTGAATTTTTCAAAAAATTGAAATTACCATAGTTTTTTGTACACTTCACTTGACATGCATGCACATTTTCGCGGCGATCGGCTGTAAAACGGCCGAGATCTTACGGGGACCCCCCCCCCCCCCCCCCACCCTCAAGTCTACTCCAATCACATTGAAAAAAAGTATGACTTAAATCATCTCTCTCATCATTATACCGCTATAGTATTCATGTTTTTAATATTATTTATTATCCTTCCATTAAACAAGTTCATAGAGAAAATACTTATCTCTCTGCAACATTAAAAAAGAATCTTCATTAATATGTCTTAATTTGTATTGATAGCCTTGTGGTCACCAACAGTGGCGTAGGTAGGGGCGTCTCCAAAGGGGGTTGTGGGGTGCGACACACCCCCCCCCCCCCACCTGTCAGGATATTGTCGGTAAAATTGCGCTGCCGTCGGGAAAAAAAGAGAAAAGGGGGAGGGGAAAAAAGAAAGGGAAAGGAAAAAGAAAAAGAAAGGAAGAGAAATACGAAAAAGAGGGAGAATAGGAAAGAAAGGAAAAGAAAGAAAAAAAAGGAGGCAAGAGCTCTTTGCCCCCGTTTCCCTCTTTTCTTCTTCTTCTTCCTCTTCTTTCTTTCCTTTTATCTTCTCTTTCCCTTTCCCTTTCCCTTCTCTCTCTCTCTCTCTCTTATTTATATTTTTGGCGGGGGGGGGAGGGCTAGAGCTCTTCGCCCCCGTTTCCCTCTTTTCTTCTTCTTCCTCTTCTTTCTTTCCTTTTATATTCTCTTTCCCTTTCCCTTTCCCTTTCCCTTCTCTCTCTCTCTCTCTCTCTCTCTTATATTTTTGGCGGGGGGAGGGCAAGAGCTCTTCGCCCCCGTTTCCCTCTTTTCTTCTTCTTCCTCTTCTTTCTTTCCTTTTATCTTCTCTTTCCCTTTCCCTTCTCTCTCTCTCTCTCTCTCTCTCTTATTTATTTTTTGGGCGGGGGGGGGAGGCAAGAGCCCTTCGCCCCCGTTTCCTTCAACTTCCTCTTCTTTCTTTCCTTTTATCTTCTCTTTCCCTTTCCCTTCTCCTTCTTATTTATTTTTTGGCGGGGGGAGGGACAGGAGGCAAGAGCCTTTCGCCCTCGTTTCCCTCTTTTCTTATTCTTTTTCCTCTTCTTTCTTTCCTTTTATATTTTCTTTCCCTCTCCCTTCCCTCTCCCTCTCTTATTTATTTTTTGGCGGGGGGGGGGGGAGGTAAAAGCCTTTTGCCCTTCCCCCGTTTCCTTCTTTTCTTATTCTTTTTCCTCTTCTTTCTTTCCTTTTATATTTTCTTTCCCTCTCCCTTCCCTCTCCCTCTCTTATTTATTTTTTGGCGGGAGGGGGGGGGGGAGGCAAGAGCTCTTCGCCCCCGTTTCCCTCTTTTCTTCTTCTTCCTCTTCTTTCTTTCCTTTTATCTTCTCTTTCCCGTTCCCTTTCCCTTCTCTCTCTCTCTTATTTATTTTTTTGGCGGGGGGGGGGGGGGGGGGGTGAGGAGGAGGCAAGAGCCCTTCGCCCCCCCCCCCCCCGTTTCCATTTTTTCTTCTTATTCTTCTTTCTTTCATTTTATCTTCCCTTTCCCTTTCCCTTTTTTCCTTCTCTCTGTCTCCCCCATCAACATAGTAATAACGAAAGAGATCACTCTGTAATCAAGACGGCGTAAATATTCATAATTGAATGACACACGCCCTTAAAACCAATACTAAAACAACAACCATTCCATTTTATTTAATACATTTTCGATATACTTAAATTGGCAACTATTACCTTCTGTCCCAGATCCTCATTTTAAACGACTGATGCGAAAGACTAGTCGACGCACCCTTTCGAGAAAAGCCCCTCCGCTTTTATCGAAAGGGTGTGTTAAAACGGTACTCCGCTCTCAACGCACCCTTTCGAGAAAGCCCCCCCCCCTCTTTTATCGAATGGGTGCGTTGAGCACACCACACCGCGCCGCACCGCACCGCACCCTTTCGATGAAAGCCGAATCGGAGTACGAGTACAGCAGTGCAGTGTTAGGGAATGTAGATCTATCTAGGAAACGATGAAAGACATCTTAAGGAAAACAAGAAAACAAACTAGTCTCTTATGCAATAAACAGTGATGGCAGTATGATATTATGTGCGACACCATGGCACAGAGAAATCGAGAGCGTGAACATAATATACTACATGCATGGGTGTCGATACTTACGTAATACCTATTCATCAGGGGGGGATGAATGAATAGATCATCCCCCCCCCCCCCCCTGATGAATAGGTATCAGTTACGGATCGACACCCATGACTACATGCCCTCGGCCACGTACCAACAACACAAGAGTACATAGACAACACAAGTCATATTCAGTACAAGCACTACAGACTAGACTCTCCGCGAGCGGTTTCATTGGAATTAATCGAGCTTTCCCCTCGCTGCCGTGTAAATAAAAAATACGCGCGCGGGGTGGGGCAGGGGAGGATCTTATTGAGGGAGCTCCTACGGAGAAC